TGAGACAGGTAACATGTATTGTAGCCTCAATATAAGGATAGATGTAGTATGTTGAATCCACCACAACCTGGACATAGGGAAGGATATAGCAGGAAAAAATCCAACGCAGCCCTGAAACACTCTTAGGGAGTTGGGACTCCATGGAGGTAAAATATGAGGTAACATACATAAAGGGGAAAAAAGATGGTGCTGCAGTAGTCAATATTAAGTGAAAGATGACCAAGATTTCAAGCTACTCTTATACCACATGAGAAGTTAATGTATTTTTTAATATAAAAATGACAGAAAAAGGTGCGCTTGTCCCAATTTCACCAAAACATATGTATATGCCTCCCGCAAAGATTTCTAGAGTTTAAGGAGATCGGTTGGAACAAGGCTGTGAAGCCGACCCCAAACAGTTGGGATAAGATTCAATGGAACATGGCTCGGAGGATGAAGTTGATCTTCAAGGAGACCACTAAAATGATTCTTTGAACAATAATGGAAAATCTAAACAAGAACACTCATCCAGAATAATGACAACAACCAAATATAATTTATGTTATAACTCGGACTTCAAACTCAAGAATCGCCCAGTTCCAATTGGCTCCGGCAAGCCCTGATTTTTATTTGTGTAAAAGTCAAAATTTAAAAAAATCATTTTTTAAAGGCTCTGGTGAGTCTACCAAAAGACTAGGGCGGACCCCAAGTCTATAGCAAATTCATAAGGACACCACGTCAGCATCATTTTCAGTAAGACTTACACCCAAAAATAAATTTTCTATTTCAGATGATTTCCTTATTTAAAGGGTGAGGTTGGGTTTCTTGAGTTTTGACCTATTTTCACCCCCTTTACTATGACAACATTTGGAAGCCGAATCAATTATAGATTTTGAGATTTTTGGGAGAGTTTCTTCCTTGAAAGAAAAGTGATGCGCAAATCTTCAGCATTGGAGTTAGGTGGAGATATGAGTAGTACGTTAGGCTTATATACAATTGAAGAAAGAAACAACTCTCACTATCAATTTTCCAGATCAAAACCCTTTTAGAAATTGAGATATTAGGTATTTATTTTGTTTATTTTGTTGTACTTTCTTTCTCTTTCAAGTTATATCCACAAAATACCTTTGGATCTAGGAAGATCTAGAGATTATTTTGCAGATCCTCTTCTTTATGAAGCTCTTTAGTCATTTTTGAGGAAAAAATATTCATATAAATTCTTAAACTACAAAAACAATAGTCACAAAAAAGATATTTTCTCATTATTTCCCCTGAAGATGACCTAATCTCGCTAGATCTAGGATTTCCACTAAAATCTAAGGTTTTTTTAAACTTTCCACTAAAATCTAAGGTTTTCTATTTTTCAATTATGTTTCCTATTTTTCTTCTGTTTTGCAAGTTCCCATTCTGCTATAGTTTTCTAGAATTTATGCAAGCCCTTCAAAGCATTGCCATGAGACTTGACAAGTCAACTCAGCTTGAGTCCTCAATGAGTCATGTTGCAAGATTGAACTTTACAACACTGAAATAGACAATTGAATATATCCATTTCAATAAAAACTGAGAAAAATAGCAATGGCAGAAGCAAGAATATGTATACAAAAATGCAAATAAAAATAAAAACAAGAACAACAAAATGAAAGCTAACATTTGGAATCCTCTGCAAAAATCATTCCAAATTTCAAATATTGAAGAATAAAACAAATTTTTTTGTTCTTGTTCAGGTCCCTATCCAAGCAAGTCGCCAAGACAACTTGCCACAGATTGCACATAACAAACCTATATTAAAATACATAACTGCAGAAAAAATAGAAATGACAAAAAAAGTGAAAGGAAACATATCCCAAAAAATAAGCAAATGAATAGTATACAAAATCTTCCTCTAATTTTGGTTTTTGGACAATCACACATACATCTGGCTTGCATAATGTAATTATATTGTTTGTCCAACAGTTCAGATACTGAGGAGTCAAATGAAATAAACTTGAAAGTATGAGTTACTTCAAACTCCAGCAGTACATGGATCAGAGCAGGTCCTCACTTTTTCCATGGGTGATACAAACCATTATAACTGGTAAGGAAACTGAAACAAAGGCTGATACTCAGATTATTGAAGTACACCAAATAAGTGTTAGTAGTAGTCTTTAGAATATTCTTTCTTGGTGATCTCAGCATGTTCCAGTACATTTAGAATATACAATTTTGCAACTTTTTCTATAAATAAGCCAACAATGAAAACAGAATCAGATAATGAAATGTGGAAAGAAATGAAACAGCTAGCACATCATATTGTAATGAGGCAAGAAAATTTACTGGAGGAAGAGAGAGAACACAAAACTCGAGTAACATAAACCCCAAGACCCATCCACTATAAACATGAGGATGGGACCCACTATGAATCTCTAGCAGGGGAAATGATTGTATATGATTACCGATCAACAAAGGTTGAGTGTACATAATTTCATAACTGAGATTCACACATATTGTCAACAAAAACAAATTTAACATACTCCAATTCTTCTCCTCTATACCGATCAACAAAGGTTGAGTGTACATAATTTCAAAACTGAGATTCACGCACATTCTCAACAAAAACAAATTTAACATACTCCAATTCTTCTTCCCTTAATGTCCTCATATCTAGAGACAGCACCCTAGTTATCATATCATGGTGAATTTGCAGACATGGACATGCCAGTAGATGGCAGAAGAATGAACAGGTATATAGAAAAAAATAAAACAAAATGAGGCAGAGGCTCTGAAGGCTTACAATGAGTCAAACATGGAGCACCAACAGACCCAATGACTAACATAATACTTCTATTTTGTATTTTCCATGTCTACCCAAATTGTCTTTTACACTTGCCTGGTGCACAGGCAGGTTGAAGCAAAATAAGAATATGAAGAATACAAAATAAATACAATAACAAATATCCATGCGACTTTCCTAGGATGTTCTTGGCAAAAAGTTTTGAAATTTTTGTGATTCAAAAGATTGATAATATAACAGCCTCAGGGAAACATTCTCAGAAAGTGTTCATCTGAGACATGCAGTACAATGTAGAAATAATACTTGCATGATATTCAGACCAAATGAATCACATCCAGCAGCAATATGAACACAGTGGAGACTCTCCACGACAATTTTTTTGAAAATACATCTCCACAACAAATTGCTAAAGGAAAACATTGGCAATAAAAAGATTCTAACCCAAAATATAAATTTTAAAAGGAAAAAAAATAACAGAAGAAAACAAGTGATGAAGCAAATGAATGGAAACGATTTTTTAGATATCTCATCATTGTTTGTGTCATGTAAACTAAAACCGAATAAAATTGTACCTTACCACTGAATCAATACATACAGAAGGTGATACACATTGAGGACATTACTGCCCACATCTAGGGTTTCCTTCAAAATTCAATAACCATGGACGTTGTTGTCTAGATACAATCACCATGAACCCAAAAAATATATATGAGAGAGAGAGAGATAGAGTACAGTAAGCAGCAAACAGTTTGCTATTTTTGTGAATGTTGCAGTCTAAACGAGAGTAAATCAAAGTGATCAATTAAAACTAGGCAGTCAATCCCATATCACTGTACCATATATCCATATCACAACTTATCAGACAAAGCAAACAACTGAACCCTAACCACGAGCCAAATCACCCTCACAATTCAAACATGAAACCAAACACATAAACTAAAATGCATAAAAATAACAAAGCGGACAGTATCCAAATCCAACTCGACCTAGACACCAAAACCCATAAAAGGTAAAAAAAAGAATGTTAACACAGTGAATCTATAGATCACGGCACTCAAGTGAAAGTGGCAAAGAAAGAACTGGAGAGAGAGGAGAAAGAAAACGAAACCTGGCCCTTGACCTTGAGATTGATATGAGCCGATTGATCGACGGGCTTCTTCTCTTCCTCGTTCGTAGCTCCCGACATTATCCTCTGCAACTCAATACAATACAAGAGAGAGGAGAGACAATGATGATGAACGGTTGACGACGTTGGCCCTTTTATGTGTTTAAGAGAGAGGTTTCCAAAATTGCAATGCATTAAATTTTCAAATCCACCCACGGGAAAAAAGAACGACGGAAAAAGGAACAGGCAGAATAAGAACGTAGGGCGGAAATTGTTCGTGGACCCATCGTAGGGCTGAAAATCAAAGGAGTTGAGGTGGATCTTTTACTTCCTTTTAGGGTTGCTCGCTCCTTTGGTTGTCCACCATGGAGATTGTGATCTTTGTTTTTAAGATTCCAAGTTATCGTCTCAAAATTAAATTGGAAGAAGGTACACTTTAATTGGTACTTGAATTACGCACGTGTGTAGAATACCAGTTCATCCTCATCGTCCGTTTATTTCAACCAAACCTCTGATAAGGTTGCAACCTTAAACAATCCAATTGTGGCGTACCTTCAAAGATTATAATATATAATTTTAATGTAAAATATTTTCAAGATTACTTCAAAATCTACTTTCATATCTAATTATAAAATTTTAAATTTCAAATATGTCAAAATCAAGTAGATCTATAAACATATGAAAATTTAAAAAATGGATGGTCTAGATAATGTGTTGTAAGACGCACTATTTTTGAGATTCAAAATCTTTTTTTTTTTATTACATCTCGACATCGAGATGCTCAATTAGAGGGCTTTTAAGCATTAAAATAATACTTTTCGATGGATTTTTGAGGTGCATATGTAGTTCTACATTTTAAGGTTGCAACCTTAAATAAACTTTTTCTTATATATATATATATATATATATATATA